GAATAGGAATGTGGGAGTGTGATTAGGGGTGGGGACTGTGATTAGAGGGGTGGGGAGGATTGGGGATGGGGAGGTGAATAGGGGCTGAGGAGTGTGGGGATTGGGGTTGGGCATGATCAGACAGGAGAGTGATTAGGGGGTTGGGGAGTGTGATTAGAGAGGGTGGAGAGTGTGATTGGGGGTTAGGAGAGTGTGAATGAGGGGATGGGAAAGTGCGCATTAGGGGGAGTGAAGATATTAGGGGGCAGGGGCAGGACTAGAAGGTAAGAGACGGTTATTGTTCACCATCCAACTCTCTGAGTTTGCATAAGGATCAGGAGGGAAGGACGGTTTCAGCTCTCCCCTGACAAGAGAGCCAGGAGTAAGGTGTGAGGTGGGCGTGTGAGACCGTCGTGGCCTCTGCAGGAGAGGCCCTATGCTTGTGGACCCTGCTCCATCCTTGTGTTGGGGCCATCAGTGACGTTATTTCCTTCCCATCTTTCAGTGACATCTCACCTGTATCGACCCTGAACTGCCCCCTGTGGAATCTCCCCGCTCAGGCCTTTGGACAGTTCTAGCAATAATGTGCTGTCTCCACCTTATCCTCTTCTATGATAAACAACCAGCCAGCAACATGGTAAACCCCATCTCTGCAAAAATACAAAAACCCCAGCCAGGCGTGGTGGTGCGGCTACTGCAGTCCTGTGCTACCACAGGGCTGGAGGCAGGAGGGTCGCTGAGCCCAGGAGGTCGAGGCTGGAGTGAGCCATGATCGGCCACTGCACTCCAGCCTGGGTGGCAGAGTGAGACCTCGCTGTTTTTATAAAAGGAGGTGAGACAAAAAGGATCTCCTGTCTAGACCTGATGTGTCTCCCTCAGCTCAGCATCACGATGGTCTCAGGTCATACCTGGGACCTGTGTCTGAGGGGGAGGCCCTTGTGGCCCTGCAGGCTGGCAGTGCCAGGTGGGTGTGGGGAGAGCAGGAGGTGACCTCGCAAGGCCCCCACCCCTGGAGGTAGGCGAGGCCACACCCTCACCCTCAAGTCCACTGGCCTGGCCTCCTCCCAAAGAGCAGGAGGAGGCTCCACAACCCGCTGTCTCAAGTAATGGGTAAGGCTTGGGAGTTGATTTGGTTTTTAAGCGGGAGGGAGGAAATAGCAGAATCTTTGCAGGAATTTTCAGAAACAAGTAGGAACCTATGTCTGTAGTAGCTAGGTTAGCAGTGCCCCCACCTGCAGGTGCCCACACCTCTGCAGGTAAGCTCAGGGAGAATTCTGGTTTTTCTGCACCTTACAGTGAGCACCAAGTGGCTCCCCATCCAACCTCCGGGCGCGTGCAGCTCAGGGACCTTTGAGATGAGGCGCCATGCGGGCCTTGTCCTCCGCCTCATTTGTGCATGCTGCCGGCATCCCGCTTCCAGCTCCCCACCATTTCTCCCCCCACCATCCATGCTCGCTAAGACACACAGTGACCTCACCCGCAGGAGCCTGCCCCACTTCTCTCCCTCCTTCCCCTGCGCCCTGAACTGACCTCTGCCTGCTCGCGTCTTTGTTTTCAGGCAGCCCAAATTCGCTACCCTTTCTGCACAGAGATGTGCTGGTATGTCCTGGAGAGATACGTACTGTGTGACCCAGCGCTCCCACCTCACCTAGGAATACCAGGAGGGAGTCGATGTTTATTGAAGGAGTGAACCGAAGGGCGCCACGGCCTCGGCTGCAATAGCTGGGGCAGAAATCATCTCACACTCCCCTGCATTCTAGGGGATTCGTTGAATCATGTATTGGGCAGCATCCTAGGAACCCTCAGGGGAAGCCATTCTGTCAGTTTCCCACCTGGAATACAGAGTCCAAGAAAATGAACTCGGATCCCCGTGCAATGGTGGCCTCCAGCCTGGGTGGCTGTGCAGATGCAGGTTGGGGCCGACCGGCTTGGCTGCTAAGACAGGATCACCCCACAGAGCAGAGAATCCCGTTCTTTGGCTCTTACGTGATGCTATTTCAGCTGATTTTTCCTCTTGCACCGGAGGTTGGCTTTATCTAGTGAGAGCAGTCCTGTGAGATGCAGCCAGTCCCTCAAACCCAAGGCCGCCTTTGAGGCAGCAGGAGGTGACCAGGGCAGGTGGTGCGGGCCTGGAGGAGCAGGAGAGAGTGTTTGGAGCCGCTGCAGCGCCCTGCCCTGCTGCCAGTACTTAAAAGAGACATCATTCCCAACACGGCTCTGCCTCGACCTTGACTCACAGATGCCCGCTCTCTGGAAGTTGTATCTGGCTGTGACTGCAAGCCCGACCAAAGCAATCTAGAGGAAGAACGTGATTCTCTCGACTATGTCTGAGTTGTTGTCGTGGCAGGAATGTTTTCCTGGATGATGTAGAGTCTGCAGCATCTCAGACAAAGCATCTTTTTTTTTTTTTTTTTTACCAGAGGATAGAAAGATGAGACTAGTCCATCTCCTGAGGGTCTGCACAATTTTTCCTGCAGCCTCTAGGATTTTTAGATTCTTTTTTCCTTTACAGTAAGCCTCTTCTGTGCCTTCCTCATGCCCCATCCCTAATGACGTTCAGGGTTCCAGACTGGGCGTATGGGATGGGGAACCAGTGTTTCCTCTGGGCCATCACTGGGAAGTCTTTGCCTGTGAGGTCTGTCGCGAGCCTCTTTCCTGCCCAATGATGTGATAATCGGGGTTGGAAAGTCCCAAACCCTACAACCTGCTCCTTCTGAAGCTCCCAGCCTGGTAGGAGAAGGGAATGATCCTGAAACAGCGTGAGAGCCGCTATGATCGCAGCACTCCACGTATCCTCCGGGACAGAGGCTGGGGAGAGCGGGAGGCTTTCCGAGTGTCTGCAGTCCCTGTGGGGCCAGGAAGCGCAAGGGTTGCCTTGTCACTTGATATGTAGGACAGAAGAACATTCCATCTACAGGCACAGGAGGAAATCTCGAGGTGGTGCTTAGGTAATCAGTACCCACATCTTCCTTATGTTTTCTCTTGCCACTGTTTTCCTCTGACTCTCCCAGTCCATCTGCCAATGAGAAGGGACAACGTGAGGGAGACACCCCCTCCATCCAGAGCCGCTGTGTGCCACTGCCTGTGCCTGGGGTACCTGTGTCCTCCACACCACGGCCTTCCGAGGATGTTTCCTTTGCCTTCCATTTTTTAACAGCCCTATTGGGATATAGTTCTATATCACAATTCACCATTGCAGCAGAATCCAGTGGTTTTCTTGGGTCTATTCACAGATACATGCAGCCACTGCTGCTGTCAATTTCACATTTTCATCACTGCAAAAAGAAACCTAGGGCCAGGCCGGGCGCGTGCTCACACCTGTAATCCCAGCACTTTGGGAGGCTGAGGCGTGTGGATCCCTTGAGGTCAGGAGTTCGAGATCAGCCTGGCTAACACATGGTGACACCTCTCGTCTCTCTACTAAATATGAAATTAGTCCAGTGTGGTGGCACATGCCTATAATCCCACATACTTGGGAGGCTGAGGCAGGAAATCTGCTTGAACCTGGGGAGTGGAGGCTGCAGTGTGCCGAGATCATGCCATTGCACTCCAGTCTGGCTGACAAAGTGAGACTCTGTCTCAAAAAAAAAAAAAAAAAAAAAATCCTAGCACTTTGGGAGGCCAAGGCGGGTGGATCCCTGAGGTTAGGAGTTCGAGACCAGCCTGACAAACGGTAAAACCCTGTCTCTACTGAAAAACACAAAAATTAGCTGGGTGTGGTGGTGCACCTGTAATCCTGGCTACTTGGGAGGCCGAGGCAGGAGAATCCCTTGAACCCAGGAGGTGGAGGTTGCAGTGAACCGAGATCACACTGAGATCCGGCCACTGCACTCCAGCCTGGGCAACAGAGCGAGACTCTGTCTCAAAAAAAAAAAAAAAGAAAGAAACCCATACGCTTTAGCTGTTGTCTCTATCTCCCCTCCTCGCTCCTTCCCCAGCCCTAGGCAACTCATCTACTTTCTGTCCCTATAGATGTCCCCTGCCCGGGACATTTCACATGAGTTGAATCATACAATAAATGCTCTCTCAGACTTGTTTTTATTTTATTTTAGTACTGTTATTATTATTATTATTTGAGACAGGGCCTTGCTCTGTCGCCCAGGTTGGAGTGCAGTGGCGCATTCATGGCTCACTGCAGCCTCCACCTCCCGGGCTCAAGTGATCCTCCCATCTCAGCCTCCCAAGTAGCTGGGACTACAAGTGCACATCATCACACCCAGCTAATTTGTGTAGTTTTTGTAGAGATGGGGTTTCGCTATGTTTCTCAGGCTGGTCTCAAACTCCTGGGCTCAAGCAATCCACCTGCCTAGGCCCCCCAAAGTATAGGGATTACAGGTGTGAACCACTGCACCCAGGCTCGACTTATTTTTAGACATTAAAAAGTAAAGTGCTTGGCTGGGCGCGGTGGCGCAAGCCTGTAATCCCAGCACTTTGGGAGGCCGAGACGGGCGGATCACGAGGTCAGGAGATTGAGACCATCTTGGCTAACACGGTGAAACCCTGTCTCTACTAAAAAATAGAAAAAACTAGCCAGGCGTGGTGGTGGGCGCCTGTAGTCCCAGCTCCTCGGGAGGCTGAGGCAGGAGAATGGCGTGAACCCGGGAGGCGGAGCTTGCAGTGAGCTGAGATCTGGCCACTGCACTCCAGCCCGGGCAAGAGAGCGAGACTCCATCTCAAAAAAAAAAAAAAAAAAAAGTAAAGTGCCGGGTACCAGCCTGGGCAGTATAGTGAGACCTCATCTCTACAAAAAAAGCTTTAAAAAAACTGGCTGAGTGTGGTGGGCGCACCAGCAGGAGGATCACTTGAATCCCGGAGGCAGAGGTTGCAACGAGCTGAGATGGTGCCACTACAGTCCAGTCTGGGCGACTGAGCGAGACTGTCTTTATATAAATAAATAAAGTGCCAGTGTTCAGAGAGGCGAGGCAACCCATGTGGGTGTACACAGCCGGGAAGCAACAGGGTAGGGATCTGAACCTGCGTCCAGCACGGCCTTTCCAGAGGCTGGAGGTACTGACCGTTAGGATTGTCAGAGAAGCTGGATCTATGGAGTAAAGGGGACTTTTGGCGAGTGGAAGTTCCAAAGACCTTGGCAGAGAGTTAGGCGTCATCTTGGTCTTTCTTGTGACCCTTCCCCCACAGATGCCCCGAGGAAGCCCAGCATAGACGGCTTCTCTTCAGATTCCTGGCTGGAGATGGAGGAGGAGGCCTGTGATCAGCAGCCTCAGGAGGAGGAGGAGAAGGACGAGGAGGGCGAGGGCAGGGACAGGGCACCCAAACCGCCCACCGATGGCTCCGCTTCACCCACCAGCATGCCCTCCGAGGACCAGGAGGCCCTCGGGAAGAAGCCCAAAGCACCTGCCCTGCGATTCCTCAAAAGGACTTTGTCTAACGAGTCAGAGGAGAGCGTGAAGTCCACCACATTGCCCGTAGACTACCCCAAGACCCCCACTGGCTCTCCCGCCACGGAGGTCTCTGCTAAATGGACCCATCTCACCGAGTTTGAACTGAAGGGCCTGAAAGCTCTGGTGGAGAAACTGGAATCCCTCCCGGAGAACAAGAAGTGTGTCCCTGAGGGCATCGAGGACCCCCAGGCACTCCTGGAGGGTGTGAAGGTGGGCAGGAGTGGCGTCTGGGGCTGGGCGGCCGAGGAGGGCTGGGCAGGTCCTGTTCAGTGTGACAGGTGCAGCTCAGCTCATGGTGGCTCTATGCAGATTGCTCTGAGCATCGGGCGGGCGCCGGGAGAGAGCTTCTGGGGGCCTCAGTCCACAAAAGCCTATGTAGGGTGTCCAAGCAGAGGTGACCATTAAGAGCTGCAGAGGGTGGGTGCGGTGGCTCACACCTGTAATCCTAACACTTTGGGAGGCTGAAGTGGGCAGATCACTTGAAGTCAGGAGTTCAAGACCAGCCTGGCCAACATGGTGAAACCCTGTCTCTACTTAAAAAAAAAAAAGAAAACTTAGCTAGGCATGGTGACACACACCTGTAGTCCCAGCTACTCGGGAGGCTGAGGCAGAAGAATTGCTTGAACCTGGGAGGTAGAGGTTGCAGTGAGCTGAGATCGTACCACTGCGCTCCAGCCTGGGTGACAGAGCGAGACTGTGTCTCAAAAAAAACAAAAGAACTGTAGAGGACCCCATTTTGGAAGGTCACTCTGTGGCTGACGAGTTTTCTTCTCGGCGCTTATTGGAAACCTGAGGCCCCACCAGCAGGTGTGACATGTGCGGCAGTTGCTGTTACCGAGTCTGAGACAGACCCCTCCAGCCTTGTCAGGAATCCTCGCTGTCCTGGGACAGCGTTCTCGGAGCATGCATCAGTTTCACATGAGCAGGTTGTGCATCCCCACAGTCCTTGACACGGCCAGCTAATGCGGGCACTATGTAGCTGCGTGCGATTTGGAAGTCTTCATTATGATATGCATTTAATGGATGAGGAAGTAGGCTCAGAGAGGGTAAGGGGCATGCCTGAGGTCACAGAGCAGGTGGATGGCGGAGCTGGGATGAGGACTCGAGGGTGACTGCAGAGCTTCTGTGTGGCTGCCACTGCGTAGAACTGCCTCTTGTCTCAGCATTAGTCAGGCCTTTTGGTTGAGGCCTCAGAGGCATTTGGGCGTCCTTCTCCAATGTCTGATGCCCAAGGGAAGCCAGCTAGCTGTCTCCTGGGGTTGGAAACTGAATTTAAGTTTCTTCTTCAGTGACTGTGAAGTACTCAGGATTGGCAGTTCACTTGTTCATTGTATTCACTTAGGAACCCTTGTGTTGGGCCTGGGATATAGATACATTAAGATTCACGGGTGCAGGCCGGTCACGGTGGCTCAGGCCTGTAATCTCAGCACTTTGGGAGGCTGAGGCAGATGGATCATCTGAGGCCAGGAGTTTGAGCCCAGCCTGGCCAACATAGGGAGACCCTATCTCTACAAAAAATAAAAAATTTACCCAGGCATGGTGGCTTGTGCCTGTAGTCCCAGCTACTCTGGAGGCTGAGGAGAGAGGATTGCTTGACACCAGGAGGTCACTGCTGTAGGGAGCCATTGTCTCACCACTGCACTCCAGCCTGGGCAACAGAGCAAGACCCTGCCTGAAAAAAAAACCCAAGAAAACCATACTAATCTGAAGAAGAAATGTCTTTCCATGCTTTTGGAAAGCCTTTTTTACTTTATTTATTTATTTATTTATTTATTTATTTACCATTGAGACAGACAGGGTGTTACTCTGTTGCACAGGCTGGAATGCAGTGACGCGAGCTTGGCTCACTGCAGCCTCGACCTCCCAGGCTCAAGTGATCCTCCTGCCTCAGCCTCCCAAGTAGCTGGGACTACAGGTGCATGCCACCATGGTCAGCTAATTTTTAATTTTTTTGTAGAGATGGGGTCTCACCACATTGCCCAGGCTGGTCTCAAACTACTGGGCTCAAGTGATCCTCCCACCTCAGCTTCCCAAGGTGCTGGGATTACAGGCATGAGCCACTGTGCCTGGCCTAGCCTATTTTTGCCTTCAAAAGCATCTTTGTCTCTCTGATCTATTTCTGTGTGGTGTTGCTGGTTCTGGGAACAGATGTCCTTCTAGGGATGAAACTTGGCTCCTCCTGTCCCTCGCCTCTATATACCTGATTGGCCTGAGGCTGGACTTACCCTAGACCCTTTGATGATGTAGAGGAGGCCTGGGGTAGGGGTTAGAAAAAGTGCAAGCAGCCTAGACGTCCTCATTCCTCACAGGGGAATCACGGGCAGCTCGTGGAGTACTTTTTTTTTTTGAGACAGAGTCTTGCTCTGTTGCCCAGGCTGGAGTGCAGTGGCGCAATCTCTGCTCACTGCAACCTCCGCCTCCTGGGTTCAAGCGATTCTCCTGCCTCAGCCTCTTGAGTAGCTGGGATTACAGGTGCCCGCCACCATGGCCGGCTAATTTTTATATTTTTAGTAGAGACGGGGTTTCACCATGTTGGCCAGGCTGGTCTTGAACTCCTGACCTCGTGATCTGCCCCCTCCTCAGCCTCCCAAAGTGTTAGGACTATAGGCGTGAGCCACCGTGCCCGGCTTTGTAGTACTTTGACTATCCCTGTTTTACAGATAAGTAAATTGACGTACAGAGAGGTTAAGTAACTTACTCTAGGGTCTGGTTGCTGTTCAGTAGGAGAGTCTATGCGCCACTCTTTTTTTTTTTTTTTTAAGACGGAGTCTCTCTCTGTCGCCCAGGCTGGAGTGCAGTGGCCGGATCTCAGCTCACTGCAAGCTCTGCCTCCCGGGTTTACGCCGTTCTCCTGCCTCAGCCTCCCGAGTAGCTGGGACTACAGGTGCCCGCCACCTCGCCGGCTAGTTTTTTGTATTTTTTAGTAGAGATGGGGTTTCACCGTGTTAGCCAGGATGGTCTCGATCTTCTGACCTCGTGATCTGCCCGTCTCGGCCTCCCAAAGTGCTGGGATTACAGGCTTGAGCCACCGCGCCCGGCCTATGCGCCACTCTTTTGGTGGCTGTAGAGAAAGTGATTTTCTTCTTCTCAAGAGGCAATCCCAAATTTAGGGAGAAGATATTGAGGTGATTGTGTGGGTTTTATTTACAAATCATGCAACCTGGGATGAAAGCTGCAAATCTGCAGCCTCTGGGCAAACCCAGCCTCTGGGCATTGCATCTGGCCTGCACAGGATTAAATGGATTTTTGTAATTAGTTCCCAACGTTAAACAAATCTGGAGCCTCTTATAAAATATCCTGGCTTGGCCAGGCATGGTAGCTCATGCCTGTAATTGCAGCACTTTGGGAGACCAAGGCGGGCGGATCAGTTGAGGTCAGGAGTTTGAGACCAGCCTGGTGAAACCCTGTCTCTACCAAAAAAATACAAAAATTAGCCGGGGTGTGGTGGCGCACACCTGTAATCCCAGCTACTAGGGAGGCTGGGGTGGGAGAATCACTTGAACCTAGGAGGCAGGGGTTGCAGTGAGCCGAGATTGCACCACTGCACTCCAGCCTGGGCAACACAGTGAGACTCTGTCTCTAAATAAATAAATAAATAAAAATGAAATATCCTAGGTCTCCTGGCTCATGTTCCTGAATGGCTACAATCAGCAGGAAGTAATTAGCAGCGGACCCCATATGCTCCAGTCCCTACCACTAAACTCCCCTCTGCCTCCCTGAGTGTCACTGGTTTTTCTTTCTTTCTTTTTTTTTTTTTTTTTTGAGACAGAGTCTTGCTCTGTTACCCAGGCTGAAGTGCACTGACGTGATCTCGGTTCACTGCAACCTCTGCCTCCTGGGTTCAAGTGATTGTCCTACCCCTGCCTCCTGAGTAGCTGGGGCCATGGGCATGCTACCATACCTGGCTAATTGTTCTGTAATTTTTTTTTTTTTTTTTTTGAGACAGAGTCTTGCTCTGTCGCCCAGGCTGGAGTGCGGTGGCCGGATCTCGGCTCACTGCAAGCTCCGCCTCCCGGGTTCACGCCATTCTCCTGCCTCAGCCTCCCGAGTAGCTGGGACTACAGGCGCCCGCCACCTCGCCCAGCTAGTTTTTTGTATTTTTTTAGTAGAGACGGGGTTTCACCGTGTTAGCCAGGATGGTCTTGATCTCCTGACCTCGTGATCCGCCCGCCTCGGCCTCCCAAAGTGCTGGGATTACAGGCTTGAGCCACTGCGCCCGGCCTGTTCTGTAATTTTTGTAGAGATGGGGTCTCCCATGTTGCCCAGGCTGTCTTTTTCATATAACCTAGTCACTTAGCTCGTTTATTGAACTTACCTGTCTTTAGAGATGTTTAGTTGAGCCTTGTCTAATGAGGCTGTTTTCAGGCTGAAGAGCTTGTTAATTAGGTGGACAGGCCTCCTGAGGGTCCCGTGAACGCTGGGGCCGCTGCTCGTGTCTCTAAATGTCGTGTGGCCAGGTGCTTGCTGGGGGCCGTGGGTGCCGTCACCTTATCCAGAGCAGGAGAGTTTCTGACTGGTTTGACAGGCATCAGCCCTTCACTCTCCCTGGAGACCCAGAAAAGATTTTGAGGCCTGGTGCAGTGGCTCACACCTATAATCCTAACATTTTAGAAGGCCGATCACATGAGCCCAGGAGTTTGAGACCAGTCTGGGCAACATAGTGAGACCTCATCTGTACAGAAACAAAAGTTAGCCAGGTGTGGTGGCGCGCCTGAGGCAGGAGGCTCACTGGAGCCCAGGAGTTCCAGGCTGCAGTGAGCCGAGTGCGCCACTGCACTCCAGCCTGGGAGACAGAACAAGACCCTGTCTCAAAAAAAAAAAAAAAAAAAAAAAAAACCGATTTTGAACCCAGTACTGACTTTCAGGTTGGGAGTGCTGCCCTAGAGGGTGGGCCGCCTGTTCTCCCCAGCTGTACGCGCCGTTGCCTTGTTCTCTCTTTTCTGTTGTTGGGGGATTCTTTTGCTTTGGCCAAGAAATAAAACACAGCTCAGGAATGTGGGTCTGAGACAATTCAGAGCTGATGCCCAGCCCCCCCACTGCCGCTGAGGGATTCATGTTTCTGGGCTGTGGTGGTTTCCGCTTGATGACTGACCTGCTAGGATCTTTGGCTTGTGTTCCAGGAAGAGGGGCTCTCTCCTGGGACCTCAGAGGCTGCTGCTTGTGGTGGCTCAGGGTAACTAGTGCCCTGGTGATTGGAGACAGCCCCCAGT